TAAAATTATTTAAAAATTGGAATTATTTTTTCAAAAAATATATTTCACGTGAATTTCTTATTGTGCTAAAAAATAAGGAATTATTGTAAGATAATAATTTGGAAGATGTTATAAATGCACTATAGATTTATTTTGCAATAGAGATTTTACTTTGTCAGTGGATGAGTCACCGATTTCAGTGACTGTTTTCAGTGAACTTAAAGCAAAATTGCAGAAACCCACGTATAAGTATTTTTATGCATAAAATACGAATCACATTTTAAATAGTAATGAATCATATATTACATTGTATTATATAAAGGATTTTAATTTTCTCAAATTCATTTTAGCTTTCTTCTCCTGTACTAAAATTGATTTTTATTAAATTTGAATTTATAAGGACACATCTTTTCTTATACTAATTAGAATAAATTCTTTTCTCGTTAATTATCAAATTTAAAGTTTATAGTGCCAAATGAAATGTTGAATTGAAATTTTTCATACGATATGACTAAATGTTGATTGTGTAATGATTTAGTAAAAATTATTTGTTAAAATAAGCATATATGTTAAGCATTAAATTAAGCATAAATGGTGAAGAATATTAATTTATTAGAAAATTGACTTTTCACAAGGAGAATATTGAGTTATTTTATTTCCAATCTCATTTACGTATATTGTCCATATCATACTAATTTTCTACAAATATTTTTCATTTTTTCAAATATAAAAAAAAATTTATAATACGAAATAATTTACTTGCAAGTCTATATATGTCCCAAATCTCAAATTAATTTATTCCTTCATTTATTAAAAATTAATAATTTTTTATTATTATTTCCATAATAATTAAATTAAATATCAAATAATTGGTTTGACATTACTTTCGTAATAATTTTTCGCAATTAAAAATACTTCGAAACAAGTTATTTATTTTATAATTATTTTATTTCAATATTTAAAATACGTAATTACTTGTTTTAAATCTAAAAAATGTCATTAATTTTATTTCTCTTGTAAACCAATTATTTGTCCAAATAAATTTCTCCACTCGTTAACCTATTATGCTCGTTTTTCGAAATGTTAAATGGAAAGATTTTTTCCCAACAATTAAACGAACGATTCACGGCTACATAAGCAGTTCCATCATGAACGATGAGTCACAGTGAGTTAAGCACAGGAACGTGAGAGTTAAATATGGATCAAGAGTAAGAGTTTTGTTTTTGCTGATAAACATCGAATTCGATTTCTAAACATGTGCAATTCGAGGATTGGCGACAGATGATTTATTCGATTTACATTACTGTCATGTATATCTGGTATACGTTCTTTTGCTTACTGAATTTCTTTTAATAACGACGATAGTTTCGGGTGATATACTAATTTCTCGCAATATCATATGCAGTAGTATTTCGGAAGATGTTCGCTTGCCAAATTTCGAAACTTATACGCCATTATTTCTATCCGTGTAGAACTAATCACTAAACCTCTCTTAGCCGATGAAACACGTATTAGAATGAGTCAACCACGAATGAGAAAATTTGATCAATATATCTCTTGTCTCCGTTAAAACATTTTTAACACTTTGTACTCGAAGATTTTTTTACTGTAAGAAAGTAGCAACTCCATGGTTTTCTACCATAAAGTTGATATTTCTTTATAGTAATATAAAAAGAGATCACATATAAATTAATTGTGGAATTTTATTATTTCGATATTATTATTACTATATATTTTAATACTATATTCATCAGTTTTGTCTTAAGGCTTTCACGAGTCAGCGTTTTGGCAATCTTAAGACGATTTTCCATTTAACTCACTAACTCATTCATATTTACGATAAATGTTTATCGTAAATGTATTAAATTAAATATCAAATAATTGGTTTGACATTACTTTCGTAATAATTTTTCGCAATTAAAAATACTTCGAAACAAGTTATTTATTTTATAATTATTTTATTTCAATATTTAAAATACGTAATTACTTGTTTTAAATCTAAAAAATGTCATTAATTTTATTTCTCTTGTAAACCAATTATTTGTCCAAATAAATTTCTCCACTCGTTAACCTATTATGCTCGTTTTTCGAAATGTTAAATGGAAAGATTTTTTCCCAACAATTAAACGAACGATTCACGGCTACATAAGCAGTTCCATCATGAACGATGAGTCACAGTGAGTTAAGCACAGGAACGTGAGAGTTAAATATGGATCAAGAG